CCCTATAAACTCATCAACAGCTGACCTCCACCTTCTTCAATAGGCATATTCTCACTGTCTGAAAATTCATACCTACTGAATATGAGAAAGGTTAGCTGACAACCTTGCCAAAAATGGCAGCTTGTGTAATGTGGTGTGCTGACCAGGCAAAAGCGAAAAGTGAAAATGTACTTTTCTCACGTGGGTGTGGTTACATTTACATTTACATTTATTCATTTGGCAGACGCTTTTATCCAAAGCGACTTACAAGTGAGGTACAATACAACACAAGCGAAAAACCATACAGAATCAACAATATTAGAAGTACTGCATGACAAAGTTCCAAAGGTTGGCCAGGCGAGGTACCAACTAGCAGGTAAAGCTAGCGAGTGCGTTAAGCCATTACAACCAAACCTTTACAACCAAACCTTTACGTTTAAATCATTGCAACCAAACCATTACACCAAATCAATACATTAGACTGTTACAGCCAAACCATTACACTTTTTTTTTTTTTTAAATATAGTTTAATAGGAGATGGGGGAGGTGTTTCAGGTGCTCAGGTGAGAGTGGAAGAGCTGTGTCTTCAGATGTTTCTTGAAGACAGAGAGGGACTCAGCAGAACGGATGAAGTGTGGAAGTTCATTCCACCAACGGGGGACAACGACGGAGAAAGTCCTGGATAGTGATTTAACGCCACGATGCAACGGGACCACCAGGCGCCGTTCGGTGGCAGAGCGTAGCAGTCGGGAGGGAACATAGGGATGCAGCAGTGAGTTCAGGTACTTAGGTGCAGTTCTGTTGGTCACCCTGTACGCGAGCATCAAGCTGGGTGTCATCGGCATAGCCGTGGTAGGAGAAGCCATGCGCCTGGATGATCGGACTCAGAGCAGTTGTATATAGAGAGAAGAGGAGGGGGCCAAGCACCGATCCCTGGGGTACCCCAGTAGTTAGCTGGTGGGGCTTGGACTCCCAGGATACCTGGGCACTCTGAAAAAAAGGATCTCTCAGCTGCCTGTGTGTCCAGTGGCAAAAACTACACACATCTCCATCCCTGTGCCACCTATCATTGCCTTGTCAGTTTAGATTCAGATCTGTGTCTGTTAGAAGTGTGAGAAAAGAAAATAAAAATATTCAGACATGTTTTGAACTGAACCTGTTTGTTGCCACTCTGGTGGAGGGAAGGGTGCCAATATGGAAATGTAAGGGCAAAATGCCTTTAAGGAGTTTATTTGGCTGACAATGACTGTTCATATCTCTGTACCATGGGTCCACATGTGGTTACAATGCTTGCTGCAGTTGTGCCTAGAGGAGACTGTGTGGCATTGAGCAAAACGTGGGTGCAAGGTGGCATTATCAGGAACAGCTTCTTCATCTCCATGTGCATCAGGCTGAAAGCCAGGCCAGAGTTTGTTGCATCTGTAGTGCTATTTTGTCATTAGCATCATTAGCCATGAGGTCCGCTGTGGTCCCCAGCCTGCTCCGCCTGTTCTGCTGTGCCTCTTTACTCTTGTGTTGTTTTTGTATTCTTTTCTTTTGGGGGTTACATGGCTTTTTTAGACGCATACATTACAGGAATTTAGGTTTTTCTCAAGAATTACCCTCCATATTCCCCTGTTTTCCACAAACTCGAGACCTCACCAAGTCAACTGCAGATTCATCATCTATGTCCAAGTCCAAACAGCTGAGCACTTACCACAGAGAGGTTTATGTGTCCCAGCTCTTTTTCATGCCATCACTGGGGGCATTTCTGTATACCTGGGGTCTCCAACACGTCGCTCGCGAGCTACCGGTAGCTCGCTGCCTGTTTTTGAGTAGCTTGCCAAAAGGTTCAAAGGTCATGTACAAAAAAATCTGACAACTAATAAATGCACCCTGGAAACCTCTTCCCATTTCAATCCAATCAAATACACAGATGTCCCACCCCCTCCAACAGAAAATGATATCAGCTGTCAATCAGATAAGTTAGGCTACTGTCAAGTTTGCCAACACGTCATCACGTCAGTTACCCTGTAGGCTAGCTAGTGAGGTAGCTACTGAGCAGTGTCGCCAGATCTCGCAAGAGAAACAAGCAACCAGGTCTATGGAAACAAGCCCAAAAGAAGTGACTTGGCTCTAAAAAAGCCCAAAACAGGCAACCTTACCTCCCACAATGTGTGAGGGAGAGGCCACTTGATCAATTTATATATATATATGAATTTATTTTGAATTTCATAAGCAACCATTTCAAAAATACTGTAACTTGTAATTTTACATTTTTCTTTTTAACTCTAAAGAAGTTGAACAAAACCAACTGGCCATTAAAAAATGAGTGATGAATGAATGAATGAATGAATGAATGAATGAATAAAAATAAAAGGAAAGAAGTTGTATATAACAAACTGGCAAAGTAATTATATCAGTGAAGGCAAAACAAAGATATCCTGTTGGCCTTTTAAACAATCATTTACAAAAAATACACATAGCCTACTGGGCCTTTGACTGGCCACCTCAATTACAGTTTTTTTACAATTGCTTTCAGACATTTTCTGAAACCAGGTCTCATTTTTTCAAAACTCTACACACAAATCCAAAAATTGCACACACAAAATGCAAAATGCCTCATATCTCCTGCAAAATGAGACACTGCATTCAAAATACCATAAACACATCTCAAAATCAAGTATTTGCATCAAATGGCAAACACTTTTTTCACAATAGTACATTTTTGGATATACCATGTACATACTGTTGTTCTAAATCTAAAGCTCTTCTGTCTTTCATAGGCTTATATTTACATTTCCATACAATGTTCTAGAGTGAAAGTAATCTGCTGAGAAGGGTTGAAATGTACACAGTAAACACTAATGCAATGGTGAAACAGAAAATATTTATTTTTCCAAAACATTACTGTAGTTACTGTAGCACAGTGTTGTATGGCATACAAGAAAACAAAACCATATACAATATGGGAATTTGTACAGAAACCATAAACATGTGTAAACCAAAAGTAGAAATTTTAGAGGAAAAAAAAATTGGCAAATCACCAGTGCCGAGCTGCATTCCCTCCTCCAAACTGCGAGAGAAGAATCTCCTAGAGTGGCAGCGTCTATGTCCCCACATGCCTCCTCCAACGCCTGGAGAAGCGGCATGCAGGCATAGGGCTGACGATCATACACTTTCCAGCGCCACATAGAGAAAAATTCCTCAGTAGGATTTAGAAAAGGTGAATATGGTGGGAGCTACACAACTGTGAACTGTGGATGGGTGGCATTCCAGTTTTGGACCAGAACAGCTGGCCGGTGAAAAGTTACATTGTTCCATATTACCACAAATCTGGGCTGCCCTGGATCCGGATTTTGATCTGGAACAAGCATATTGTGAGCATATGGGCAGTGTTGTAAGGCATGGTGGTGGAGGACACCATTCTGCGTGATGGCAGCACACATGGTCACATTTCCCCCACGCTGTCCAGGGACATTGATAACGGCCCTCTGTCCTATTACATTTCTCCCCCTGCCTGGTTTTGGTGAGGCTAAAGCCAACTTCATCCACATAAATATATTCATGGAGAATGGCATGAGCATCCATCTCAAATATTCTCTGTAACAGACAAAAGAATATACAGATCAGTAGATATGGTACAGTCCAATACTCTGGCTCTGTAGCCAGATTGGTTAGTGATCATTTAAGCAATTAGAGTTTGTACATGTGAGGAGTGGGTGTGAGACACTGGTGAATAAGTGTAGCATTTTGATTGGTTGTGTTTGGAAAAGGCAAGCAAGTTACTTCCTGTTCAATTTTTGTTTCTTAGGTAGAGAATTGTGTGTAGTGTTTTGCAAAAAGTGTTTTATGAAATTGAAAACTGAGTGAAAGGCTGAGAATTAGCTTATAGTTTTGCAGACTTGGTGTGTGGTTTTGCTCTTTGAGTGACAGGTTTCAGAAATTGTGTGACATGTAAAGATTTTGTGTGTAAGCAGTTTAAAAAACTGTAATGCATGGAAAAAACTTGTCTCTTGTCCTTGTTCTCCTTGTGTTGTCATCAGCTCTGTTCCTCTGTAACACACAAATTAACACACACCTTAACAGCTATTAGCCTAGTTCTGTTCCTGTTTGATTAATCAAAAAAAAAAAAAAACAAACAAAAAAAAAAAAAACTGTATGATGTGCACGTATTTCACACTTAGAATCTGCACACTGCCTTTGAATCGTCCCCCGCTTAAGGTCGAATCCAGTCTTTTAATCCCCTCTCTTTCTCCCACTCTTTGTTGTATTTTTTCCGTATTTCGCCCACTTAGTCCCTGGCATTGTTAGCGAACTAGCTAAAGAAACCCCATCGTTGATGGACCATCAATCGCGCGATTTTGATTTGGTTTTATTTGTATGGGGAAGGGGAAGGGCGGAGGGAAGGGGAAGGGCGGAGGGAACGGGGTTGTGGACGGATCCTGCAACAGGAAAAACTAGGCAGTTTTGCTTTATTAGACAGATATGGTGGAGAGAGACAGGAGATAGGGAGCAAGCCCAAATACGCAACTACACTTTATAAACAAGCCCAAAAAACCGCAACCCGCGACTGCCAATATTTGTAGCGACTTTACAGAAAAACAAGCCCAAAGTCGCTTAAGTGGACTTGGCAACTGTGGAGCCAGGCTTGTTGAGATGGCAGTCAGAGCGCATACTCAACCGCAGTGACAGTACTCTGTCACACACATAATATATCAAAACATCTTAAATTCACATCAAAGTCATAGAAAACATTACTACGTGTTTATGACGTGAGATGTCAGACAAATGTGGTGATCATTGGCCGCTATTTTGGAACATTAAGCCACGGTAAGCCTTTTCCTTATAGTGGGCGTCAATAGAGAGGAAAACGCTTAGTGTAAGAAAACGTCCATACCCATAGGATTTCGGTTGTGATTTTTTGACAGGTGAAAGTGTTAATGACAAGACATGTCCGAGAGAAATTTGGTGATCATTGATCGCTGTTTTGAAACATTAAGCCACGTTAAGTCTTTACCTTACAGCAGATGCGAATGCCTGGCTCTTTGGTATCGCGGTTAAAGCTGCAGTTTGGTATCCTGTAGATCCGGGTTCGAGGCCCGGTGGGGTGACTGCTCTCGCCCTTTGCTACAGTGAGCTTGACACATTGAAATTTGAAATATATGGACACAGAGCGTATATTTGTGAGTTTAAGATACTTTTGATCCAAAATGTGAGCTTTGGATATTGACATTTGATACATGTATATACAAAAAGTAGCTTAATTCAGCTGGTTAATGTGAGTGTTTTAATACGTTATGTGAATAAGTGTGAGTAATATAAGACATGAGTTGCTCTCTGCCACTTTCATTTTTTCAAAGTAGCTCTCAGGTGAAAAAAAGTTGGAGACCCCTGCTGTATACAGCGTGGGTCTCTGTGGCTCATGGCACGGGAATGCATCAGAGGCACTGTCTGCAGCTCTGTGCACACAGCCCCTCCAGCCTGTGTGGCCTCAGATAAACACTCCAGGTCTTTACTACAGGGAGTCTGGGAATCCCATGACATCATCACTTGTTTTCACCAAACATCTGTTTTCAGTGATTCAGTGCACGCAAAGGTATAGGAAACAGTGTCACAGCTGAGTTCAGTACACTGTACAGTGCACAATGTTCTCTTACATTATACTTTCCTTATACTAGCACTGAATGCACAATAGAAGATAACCACTGCTCTTGCACCTCAAAAACTACCAAGTGGATGATACCTTTTCAAAGAAGCCACTACATCCTGTCTTCAAAAAAATGTCAGTTAAACTACAATCTGTTATTCTGTTATACAATAATGTTATTCTATCAGGTAGACATATGGCATGGGACTGTTCAGTACAATCCAGCTTTATCTCACAAAACCTGGTTGTTTGCAGTTACAAAACTCATTTCATATACTGCAAAAGATATATTAATAATACTATACAGAAGTTTGGAAAGGTTGACTTGCTTTGAAATCCACTTGTATGAATGTAGTTTGATGTTGTGTGCAGTCTGTCCCAAACATGAGCACGTTCTTACTGTCAATCCTTCAGATCTTTTGGGTTTAATTTTGAACGCCTTCTTGAGTTTGAACCACTTACGTTCGATTGGATTGAGGTCTGGAAATTGAGATGGCAGTTTGCAAACATCTATTTTGTGGTCATTTAACCATTTCTTTTTAGGTGTTGATGAATGCTTTGGCACATTGTCATGCTGGAATGTCCATTTTCAACCAAGCTTGAGCATCTTGGCAGAGGGAACCAGATTTTTGGCCAGAATGTCCTGGGATAGCGAGGAACGGCCTATTTAAGGACACATGGCGGTGGAGTAACTGCTGTTGTTCCCTTGAGCAAGGATCTTAACCTGAACTGGTCCAATCAACATCCTGCTGTGCTTAACGATACTGTGTAGAAATGTGAGCTGTATGATTTTCCAAAGATAAGTTTGTTCACAAAGCTAATGGGTAATTCCCAAATGTACACTCTATGTATGCTTGGAGAGCACATTTCAGCAGCCACCAAAGTAAACTTGATCATAATGAATAAAAAGAATTTTTATTTAGGATGTCCAGTTCTTTTTCTCCCTTTTTCTCCCAGTTTAGATTGCCCAGTTGGATCCTAGACCAGCCACCTGATTGTTGCAACCCCCACTGCCATTTCAGGAGGACTCATTCAACATGTGCCATCCTCTGAAGCATGTGATGCATGTGCTGCTACTTCTTTACACACCATAGTGCCTATGCCAAACCTGCAGAGACATGAGTCGAGGGACACCTCATGCATAGCTTTATGCAGACAGGCCTGCAGTGACACATGTCCCATTGGTGAGGACAGCAGTGTGGGGATTGTGTGTGTCCCATTAGTGAGGACAGTAGTATGGTGATTGTGTGTTTCCTATTGGGGAGAACAGTGGTGTGATTGATTTTATCAGCATGTTTCACTTCAGTCTCAAGTGATGGTCAGATAGGCACTACATTACTCTACTTATTGGCAAGTATTACACTTGAGCCGATGGTTTAAGACTCCCATGATCAACTTTTATTACTCTATAGTTTATAGTTCAGGACTTCCATTACAGAGTACTATTACATAGTTTTGGACTTCTGTTATTAACTTCCATTCTAAAGTTTGTGGTTTCATTCTAGAGTTATTGTCAACAGCTCATTACAGAATGAAACAAATCAAAATGATTGGTCTGTTTCTACTATTGAAATTCTAAGCAATGATATCTGGTCCACCATATGATTTTCAGGTCATTTGTATAAACATGTATTAAACAGCTCTTATGTGTTATTAATGTAATATTGTTATCTTACTAAGCCTACTTGTTTGCTGAGAATGAGTTTTCCTTTGGTGAAGGTGTTCATATCACCCCACCGACACTCACTAGGACATAATCCCTTCCATTCTTACCAAAGACCCATGGGTTTCAAATACAACTATCACTAGCAACACCACATCAAAACATAAAAAACACATAGCCGTTTAGGTAAACAAAACTCCAGGCACACTCTTTTGAGCTGCATTCTGCATGCCTCTCAGTTTGCAAAGCCCTTGATCTATGTCACTGAATTTACATTGTCTGAGATATTCATTTTCCACAGTTGCCATCCTTCATCCTTTGTAATATTTAACTCCTCCTTGTTGTTAGCGGCCTATTGGTGACAGCTTTGGGAATGCCCTCTCTGTGGTCACTATAGTGAAAGACTAACTCAAAGGCAGGACCATTGCTCTGCACGCACCTCAGATGACCTGGCATGACTCCCTTGCTGTCAGTATTTTTATTGATGATGGCTGGGACCGTTGAGGGACACTGGAGGGAACCTCCTCAGCCAGCTCATCTTCTCTTGCAGAGGTAAGGGTGCTGGGTCGGCAGGCTTTGAAAGAACCTGTATTGCTCGCACCCTAGAATTCTAAGCTATGATAAGACCAGCCCATTTTGTCAAAATGACTTTTTTCCCTGCAAGTTTCTTCTATTTTAACCACTGGTTTGCTGGGCAGCACCCAAGATGTTGCTCGAAGTAATCCCAGAATGAATCTCAGTGCTTGATTGCACTACACTTGCAGCTTTGTGCAAGTCTGTGCCTGTGGATTGTGGAACGTTCAACACCGTGTTGACCCTTTCCAACCTCTTCACTTGGATAACAGGCAAGGAAAGTCAAATTCTCCACTGATTTCTACAGTGCTGCAAACATTAGCTCGCGCTAGGCCTTGACATTGTCACTTAGACCCACACATCCAAGCCTACAATATGACCAATATCATGCACCAAGCTAATCCCAAAGTACAAAGCACAAAAACATGAAAGCAAACACTCGAACAATGCGTGACACAGATGATCTCTCATGGGGTTGTTCTGTTACTGTTACTGTTTCCAGGGGCAGAGATCATATTGTTAAATATTCCCTGTAATAAATATGAACAATAAAAGTGCCTCTGATAGGGCCTATCTGACTTTTGCTGTCCTTACAACATTTGACATGCACTGCATGGTAATCAAGGCCATATAAACTCATAATGTTGCTTAAATAGGTCTTGTCTCCATGGGCAGAAAACAAGATCTATTTATTTTTCAGGGCTTGGATAAGTGGAACTAGAGAGGTGAAATGTAGCTGTTTTTCTGCAGGGCCCCATAACTTTGAGGAATCAGATCCTGTAGGGCTGGCTGTTACACTGGCTGTTACACTGGCTGTTACCACACTGGCTGTTACCTTCCATCAGCAAGAACATGTCTCTGTCTGTTCCCCATTGATATACCCATATCTTATTTACCATCAGCAGCAGCAACGCTCCGGATTGCCTCTAACTCTTTTAGATACCTAGGAATAGTCCTTACTCGTAAGTTTTCTGACTTAAATTTAACTTTAATCCCCTTCTAGACCATCTCAAAAAAGACTGCTCGGTGGGCTGTCCTTCCTCTCTCTTTGGCTGGGCGTGTGACACTCTATGAAAATGAACATGCTACCCAAGTTTCTATACCTGTTTCAGTGCATCCCAGCCTTTCTACCCAAATCATTTTTTAACACTTTAAACAAATACATTACATCCTTTATCTGGAATAAGGGCCCAAGTAGGATACTGTCAGGACTGCAGCGTCTTAGCCGGTTGTTTTGTTTTCCCTGTTTTGTTGCCAGTTCGTCTCAGTTTGCTGTGTCGCTACCTGCTGTTTGTTCTGTTTCCTTGCCTTTTTTCCCCCGACTTCGCTTCTCGTTCCTGCCCTGTGGTTTTGTTTGCCGTGTCTGCTCTGGTTTTTGACTCTGCCTGCCTTGACTTCATTTTTGGATTGCCCTTTGGACTCAATAAACCCATGTGGATCAGTCATCCCTGTCTGCGCTTGAGTCCCTGCCTGAGTTCTGACAGATACAGACAGATATTACAGAACCCGAAACGCTCAGTAGGACTAGCACTCCCGTTTTTCCTGGGCCACTACTGGGTAGCAAACATTAATAGCATCCTCTATTGGTTTCATAGCCATTTCGGGCTAAGCAGCTGGGTCCCAGCTCGGGTCACTATAAAGGGAAAGTCTTGTTCCCTTGCTTCTCCAGCAGCCCTCCTTTGCTTACCTCTCTCATCCCCTCTCCGATCTTATGCTTGTGCACCAATCTCTGAAAATATGGCGCCAGTTCAGAGGCCACTTTGGCCTTCAAGTAACCCCTATCCTCTCCCCCATTACGAAAAACCCATTCTTTCCTCCATCCCTAAATGATGATGCATTTAACATTTGGCACAGGGCGGGGTTAAGGTCAGTTGATGACTTCCTCATCGACAACCTATTTCCCACTTTTTCTCAAATCTCTCAAAAGTTCTCTCTTAATAGAGCCCACTTCTTTAGATATTTGCAGATAAGGCACTTTGTTAAAAGCATGTTTGCAAGCTTCCCTCATCTCCCATCAAAAGACCAGATTGATCAACTCTTTGAAGTAGATATCCCCTTGAGGGGCTCAGTCTCCAAAATCTATAGCATTATTTCTGCCCCCTCCAACACCTCCCTGGCCCATATTAGGCTTCATGTTCACACTGTCAGTCCAAATCTGATTTTTTGCATATCCGATCAGAATCCGATCTTCCTGATTGACTGTCCGCATTATATATTGCAAGTGATCA